AAATATGGGTCAACTGGAACAGAAGCGTGTTCGTGACATCACCACATGCCCAGCTCCTCTAGAGCTGCAATTCACCTCCAGTTATTAATAGTCTATAGATGATAATACATTATTACTTTTTTCATTTAGTGGGGAAATAATAATTGACACGGTCAGATAAACACAAATCAGATGAACATTTTGCCAAATAAAACAAAAAAAAAAATCGCCATCAGAGCCAGCGGTACTTCACACAAGGCTATGCCAAGAGAGGGCTGCTGCAGATGGGCTGCGGTTAATTCTGGCTGCCGTTAGCCTCGGTGGTCCGCTGGTTTCCGTGGTCCTTTTAAAATCAGAATTTTTTTTTTTTTTTTATTACACATTAAATCGGTAAATGTACCATATGGTGACATTTTAAAGTATAATATTATCACCTCAAATTATCTTAAAATGTACTTTTATTGAACAACAGCAACAGAAAAGAGAACGTAATGAATGAATGTTTTCGTCGCTCACGTTTCAACGAAAACCCCAAGTCTAATCTTTCCAAAACTGATTCCAAAGCTGAGTCAAACAAGAACTGTTCAATAGTTGTTGCCATCTTCCTTGTGCTTTCTCCAGCTTCTTGCAGCTTTGTTGCCACGCCCTCAAAACTCCACCCGCTTTGCATCCAAAAAATTAAATTCAGTTCTAGGACCTGGTGCACTGACCGAGGCTAGACCATTTGCAGGCAAAAACGATTTTGGCTGCTGGTGGGTGGGGCTAGTTTACTAGGTTAGACATGGAGAATAAGTACCTACCTTGGTAATTATAATCTACAGCCTTCAGGTTTCATATTGCTTTTAGCAGAATTGAAACATCAACTATTAATTCATAGAATGTATGAGAAAGCATTAGCATATTTATTTTCTTTCCTCATCATTAGGCCTTATTTTCAACCTCTAGTCTGACTTTTCATTGCCTATTACGTAGTACTTTTAAAACAAAATTAAATATGGCACCAAACACAGCATACTTTACCTTGTAAAATCTTTTAAATATTTTCTAGATAAATTTGTCAAACACAAATCAGGCCTTCTTGAGGAGATCCTCCTACCCCAGTGCCCCATTAACAGTTTTTTTTTGTGTAAATATAAAGAAACACCACATTTGGCCTAGAATTAGCATTTTTTTTTTACTGATGTGGCAAACACATACCAACTGTGACTTAAAACTGAGGTACATCTTGAACCATGACCTATCTATACGCTCCAGCTCTACTGTAACGCTGATCTCAGATGTTGTGCAAACATTTCCCGAGGCCGAAAATAAACTGTCCACATGACTTTATATATAATATAGTATCTGTTCTCCCAGAAAGAATCTATCATGGGGAACATGATATAACTCTTCTAACACAGACCATAAGACCAATGACTGTGTACCGAAGCTCATCTGTGATGATTTAAAATACTATTTACTGGAGCCCTCAGAAACATAGTTACGGGAAAGCTCCATCTTGAGGAATCTACATTTATCTACACAGCATATGAATGTTTTCAGGGAATCAAAAATGTTTGTCAGATAGGTTACTAATCATTGGAAGTATAAACATGTGGATATTTAACATTTAAAACTTCATGGTTGTGACAATGTGTTGAAATATGGAGGAACCCTATCTTACTGCTGTCTACCAACACCAATTCATGTTTTGAGGATTAGTAGTAATAAACTTGAAGTGTGCAAACAGATGAAGTTATATAAACTTTTTAAATAGGTTGTGATCCTGGGTAGGAAAAAAGAAATCCTCTTGTGCACGAACTTCTTTCTGATGTGAACTCAATTGAGTCAACCTCAGTTTTCGTCAAAAGAAAGAAAACTGCTGAAAGGGGAACTGAAGGAAATATTTATGTGTAGATATACTTTTACAGGATTTCTGTTTGACCTATCAATGATTTATACTCCATTTAAAGTCCCACTGTCACAGTTGTTCTATGAACCATCTCTCATCGAATGAGAGCTTTGTAATCCAATTCAAAAAAGGCTTCCAAGCCATAAAAGACATAAAAACATTTTTCCCACAAGCCTAAAAATATTTATAGCATTCTGATGTTTTTCCAATGGATTTATAGAAAAAGTCTGAATCTAGAGTCGGAATTTCAGGATCCTTTCTAAATTGTTTGAGTACTGCAGGCATGCTAAAAATGCCAGGGGATGTTCTGTAAAACCCCACACTTATATATATTGGAAGTAAAATTATTTATTGTGATTATTTATGTGATTTAATGAGGAACATTGGGTGAAACTCGTAATCTAAGAGAGTGAAGTCAAAGGATGATTTCATTCGGTACCCATGTGCTGAATGTCCAAACCCCAGTACCTGACTTGGAGGCCGATTAAGGTGTTTTCAGTGTATTGATATCCTTCCCTGCGCTGAACTTCGCTCCTGATGCTCTGTGAGAAAAAGCCTCAGTAAAACATGTGGCTGTGATTTGCTCAGCTAATTAAAAACGAAAAAAATGACAGCTTGTTTTGCTCTTCCTGGTTTCCAAAACAGAAAAGAGACAGAATGATCCAGCTGTTGTCAGGATTTTCTTTAGCAGTCCTACTAACGTGAAAATTGCTTTCATTTTATTTTTACATAGAGGTTTGAAAACTGCTTGTTTTCTAAAAATATTTGTGCCACTGAAAGGCCTTTATTGACAGTTTGGAGTAAGAAAGAAAAATACAGTGTGTGTGTGTTTGGAAGGGGGTGGGGTTGGGGGATTAAAAAGAGTTTTGAGCAGAGTTATCAATAGTATTAAGATTTATTACTCAAGCAGAAGTATAAATCCTACTGTTTAAAAATACGTTTGCAGAAGTTAGAGTATCAATTTAAGATTTTGACCTAAGTAAAAGTGTAAAAGTAAAATTTTTAAAACTACTTAAAGTATAACAGTAAAAGTAATGCAAAAAGAAATGTTAAGGACAGACAGGAACATTTTTCTACAATTCTGGATGATTACTTCCTTATAATTAAGTTTCTTTGTTTTACGACTACTGGTAACAGTGTCAAATTTAACTTTACATTATCTTGAAGAACTATTTATTTTGGTATGTGATGAACAACAAGTTGGTGCAGAGGCCAACCAAAAAAAAAAAAAAAGATTAATTGTCTGGATGAAACTGATTATTTTGCTGGTTTTTATTTTTTTTAGATACTAACAGACCATAATGAAAATGAGCTTAAATGAAACAAAACTAATGAGTCTCTTTTTAAAATGTAAGGAGAAGAAAGTAGATAATTCCAAAACAATGCAAAGAGTAGAAGTAAAAAGTTGTCTAAAAAATAAACACTTTTTTGGCTATCTATACTTTACTCCAGTGAAGTATAGATAACCAAAATTTCTACTTAAGTAGGTGAAAATATTGCATTAAGTATTACCGCAGTATTTGTACTTTGTTACTTGACACCTCTGGTTTTGAGGTTTGAAGTTGATGGCCGTATGTGGACAAGCTATCTCACTAACACATCTCACAGCATCTCCTCTGTGGTTTTAATCACTGACAGAAGTTCAGTGCTTTATAAGTTTCAGTGTTTTTTTCCTGGGGGATATGTTGTCTTTGGTCTTTTATGAAAAACAGACAAATTGTTCTCTATCTGATGCAGCAGCAGAAAACTGCATCAAACTGACAAATTTCACAAGGCTTTCAGACCGCACCCGATTCACTAACGTGGTCTTTTTTGGTGATATGAAGAACTCCAATTCATGTAAGGAAGTTATTTTTGCTAGCATTAAATTTAAAGAAATTATTGCAAAAAAGGATCATGTGAATTTTTGATGTGATGTAATCTGTTTTTTTTTTTGCCATACATTGAACTGATGAATTGACCTTCCAAACCTTTCTTCCACTGACAGCTGGGCATAGGCTCCTTTCGTGAACCTTTCAAGATGCAGCAGATAAAGCTGACAGATGGATATCCCTAATAACTGCTTTAAAATATGAGCAAACAACCAAACATTCACGTCAGCGTAATTTCACCAACCTCCTGTCAGCGTTAGGGCCCTAATCATAAATAAAACATGGTCATCTATATTATAGTCACCTTGTTAGTTAGGAAGTTTAAGCAACACTAGGCTGTTTTAAACCAAAGGAATTCCCAAATTTTAAAGACTGAATTGGAGTAAAATCAAGACCTCAGTAAAACTTTCAATTGTGCTAATTTGCCTTAATAACCCAGAAGGGAAACTGCTCATTAGAGGCTCTCATATTCCAGTTTCCTTCAGTGACCTACAGTCATATTTGGGAACCAGGAAATCTGGTTAAATGAAAGTAATTTATCAGATTAAAGCTATATCTGAAGTTGTATTTAGTAATTAAAAAAAACATAAAATGGATTCCCCCTACAGGTAATGATAATAATAAAAAACAAACTGTGTTGAAATGTTTCTACAATATTTCTCAGGAACATTCAGTCAGTGTAATTAAAGATAAACATCTGAAACGGATAATGCACTATAATTATGAGGTTATTGAACAGCGTGTTCTTTGAAATTGGAGTTAGCCACATGTTAATATCTGGGTACAACTCTTTGCTCCAACATCTACACACACAGTAAAACAAAGCTTCCTATTTTCACTGAGCTCCGTCGTCTCGAACCCAAATATGTCCTCGGTCCGATTCAAGTTGTAAATATTTACTGACCTATTTCCTGACTTTGGCTGCTTCCAAATCTTCAGACTATTGAGAAAAACCCAGCACAATTTTTTTTTTCTTTTTTCCGAAGCAGAGCTGTTTGCAAAACTAGTAAAAATAACTTGGAAGTCGTAAAATGGAAAGACTGTGACAGGTTTACAGATGAACGATTAGTTCCTTATATCCATATAAAAAGTCAGTGTTGGCATAAACGGCTGAAAAGGAGGTTAAGTTGCATAACAATACATGCCTACGTTCAGGATGAAATGGAAACAAGAAGTGCACAGATTCAAACAGAATGGGATGTGATGGTTTGGAGCACCAAGAACAAAAACATTAGAGCAGAAGAAGAAGAATCAAGGACCTTTCTTTGATCAGCTCCCTCTTTTCCAGCTGACTCTTCTCCAGGGCTTTCCTCAATTGTGTCACTTCCTCCACAGCCGCACGCCACTTCTGGTTTAGTTGTTCCTCTCTGTGCTCCCATGACAACAGCTGCTGCTCCATGGCATCACACCTTTGTTGACATAACAACCACTTCTCATTTTTTTCCCCCAGTTCCACTGTTAATCTGTTGATAAAGACACAAAGGCCGAGGGTTGCACAAACATGTCTGTATCACAATATTCTGTGAGGAAGTGCCCTTTTCATCTGTATTTAAATGGGACGTGTTGATGCGTGTTCTGAACAACCACCCATGCATGCACACCTGCAGGTGCACCTTAAATCTGCACCGACAGGTCATCAGGTAACTGATTAAAGCCAGCTTTGTGACGTCAGGGTAAAACCATCCTGTTTCTAAAACCAGATTTCATTTCTTAAAACTATAATCACAGAAAAACTGGGTCAACTCGTAGTCATAAAGTAGGATACTGACATTTTTGTTTCAGAGTAAAATTTTAACTTCTATTTCTACAAATGGCTCAACTGTAAACATTTGTTGAAATATTTAATTATATTTTGTACAGTTTCAATTCAGTTTTTATTATCTAGTGCCATTCATTTAATGCAGCTAACCTGCATTAAATGAATGACTCGTTTATGTCATGACTCCTGTTTCTAGGTTTGTAAATTTGATAGTAATAATTATTCTACCATGAATCTCTCCCTTGTTTGTCTATTTACTAACCAGGTTCTTCCAGACTTTGTTAAAATCCTCGTGTTGCCAGTCCGTCATGAGCTGCATTCTGCTCGCTATGTGTTCTCCTGAGGGTCATTACATTACAACATTTCTTTAACTTTATTTCTTTTTTACAGCCAAACATCCACTTCAGCATAAATTTGCCAGCCTCATGTCAGCGTTAGGGCCCTAATCATCTATAAAACAACATAGTAATCTGTGCTATATTTTTCCAGGAAGTTAGTACTAAAGTAACCTTGTTAGTTAAAATGTTTCAGAAACACTAGACTGCTTTAGAACAAGAGAATTCCCTAATTTTAAGTGAAGTGAACTGGAGGAAATTCCTGACTTTAATAAAACTTTCAATGGTGCTAATTTTCATATTCCAGGATCCTTCTGTGACCTACAGTCATATTGGATAACCAGGAAATCTGTTTAAATTAAGGTTTATCAGATTAAAGTGGCATCAAAAAATAACCTTAAAGAAGATATTAAATATGCTTTTACTTGAGCCCAAATTGGTTTTAAATTGTATTTAGTTTTCTGATTTGATTTAATAATCCACTCTTAAATTTTATGTTTTTTATTAAAATTAGGAAAAATGTCAATAAGCTCAGCAAAGGCCTGGAAAAATAAGTCTATGTGGCTAATATATATTTATTTTGTTGTAACTAGATTATTAAACTGAGCTTTTCCAACATTTCCTTTTCCAACTAATTGAATAAGTCTGTATGTGGTTATTATATACCGTAGCTGTGTTAACAATTTTTGCAGCAGTCTTTGTTTCAGCAGATCTGCAGAGGATGCTGATAGAAGAGTCTATGTTTGAATTCCTGTGCTGTGAAGAATGGTATCTTTTAAAATGAGTAATGCAAGAACTTATTTTATTTTAGGTACCCGTGGCTCCTCCAAGCTACACTTGCTGTCATAACTTTGCATAAAGAGGGCTCCACAGACAGGAATATAACTTCCTAAATCAGTGAACTGTTTGTTAAATCTTGCATGACTTGAGAATGAGAAGTTCAACTGCTGTGGGGAAAATTTCCACATGTCCAAGAAAGCTAAACATGTCCCCAGGAGACATATCAGCACAGAGCTGGGGTTAAACCAGTGCAGTTTGCTCAAGATTGGTAGCAGTTAGATGTGGGTGTTTCTACAGAAAGAGTAAAGTGAAGACGTTTAGATTAATGTCAAGAAGGGGATCAAAGAGGCCTCTTCTCTGCAATAAAAACATCAAGGACAGGCTGACATTCTGCAAGAACCGCAAGATTGGAGTGCAGGGAACTGGAGAGAAGTGGTATATCCTCAGACTAAGACCCCTTCAGACAGAAAATGTAACTATGAAGCGGCGAGTTTGTTCAGAACATTGTGTCAGTCTCAAAACTTTTGATCATTTGAATTATCCCTGGCAGTATAACAAAGTTAAAAAGTTTTAAACTGAGTTTAATTTCATTGTTTGTTGTTGTTGCTGTTGCCCATGTAGTAATGATGTCATATTCATATTATGTAGATGACTAATTAGCAAAGGATTCGTGTTTGAGGAATGTGTAAAGGCATTTTTTTCATAATCTCTCTCTGCAAACAGTGATACATATTTGAATACTTTCATTTTGACGAATTGCAGAATAAAAATGAATAGATTTGGAAGCTTGACTGGTTATATTCTGTGTTCAGACACCTATGGTCACCAGTCTTAGCAAATTGAGCAACTGTTATTTTCACATCCTAAAAGTCTCCTGCTTTCTGAAATGGCATCCACCCCCATTGCTATTATATGTGGAGCTGTATAGAAGCCAGGGGGTTACATCAGACTGCTGTGTGGGATGGGAAATAAATTGACAGTGTAATTGAACTCACCAAGCTGCCAGTGGTCTAGAAAGGGAATGCCAGCAAATAGTGTGTGAAAAAATACACGCCCAGCATACATCTAACGCCTTCATGGAAAAGATGAGAGGCCCCTGGGCTCATATATATATCTGTCTGTGGGCGCACACATGTGGATTGGGTGTGCATGACACACATGTGGCTGCCTGAGAATCACTGCGATGTTTCTCTAATCAAAGTGTATCTACAGCTATGTACAAGCTTCTGGGCAATGATGAGAGTATGTGAGAAACACGACTCCATGGCACCCAAGAAGTGCTTCCATCTGTTGCACCAGCCTCACATGAGACTCTGAAGCGTCACCGGCACTTAGCAGAACCTAAGATCTCCTTGACTAATTTAGGAGGTGCTAGCGTACAGACATCAATAGGGAGGCAGGAGATACAGAAGCATGTCGCAGCACAGGAAGATAACGACTGTTTGGAGAATGACAAGGATTGTGTGGGAGACTGTGAGGGAACTTGTTTCCTGGTGTGTGGGAAACAAAACACTAACTATGTATTTTATTGTTTGCACTAATTTTTAATGTTGTTGTTTTTATTATGTTGGCATTTTAAACCTTGCCCAGGGACTACAGTTGAAAATTAGCTACTTAGCTAACACTGGCTCATTTACAGAAATGTTTATTAATGTGCACTGTCCCTGTTCAAATAAACACATAAATAAAATAAAAAATAAAAAGAGAGAAAGGTCAGTAAACCTGAGCAGTTTCCGGCCATGTTTCTTCTCAGTGTCTTCCTGTTGAGACAGCTGGACCTCCCTCTGTCTCTTCAGTTCTCTGGAGACACAGTGCAAAAAATAACATGGTTGATTAGTTCTCACCTGCATTACCAAGCCACAGTGACAGACTCCGACTTGGTAATGCATCTAACATTAAGCCAGAAGGACACAAATGTACCTCCTGAGCTTGTTTTCACAATCTCAAGTGTCATTAAGCCTGATACAGCTTCCATCTACTAGTCTCCTGATAACTCCCACGCTTGAATCCTCATGTGGAAGAAGCCTGCCTTAACCATGTATCCTCCCATAGGGATCAGCAGAAGTTCAAGATATCTTCCTGTATATCTGAACTCTTTACGCTTAAAAACTATTAACAGTTGCTAGAAAGAACATTTTCTCTCTGTTCTTGTTTTGACACTTTAGGTAATTTCTCCTTTTTTTACCATTAAAACTTAAATGTTTTAATATTTTTATATGAAAATAACTGATTTGTCTTCCAGTTACTATCTTCAGAAGGGGCACAGAAAATCATTTCTTAGTTCAAATCAGCGTGCCACAGTATGTGCACACACACAAACAGTGCCACATATGTCCCCCACCCCCCCATAAACACACACACTCTTTACCCTAACCCTACTAACCCTGTCAGCTTCTCAACCTAATTCCCTCTCTGGCGGCATGATCAGTTAATGTCTGTGTGTGCGTGTGTTTGTTACTGGCTGTCTAGCCCTGTGACCTTGCAGCCGCACGCGATGAGGATACAGAATGAGAGGGCCAGCATGCCTAATCTCACAGGCAGACAGTCTGTTTTCACTTCCAATCTCTCAGATTATTCTGACAACTGTGTTCGGTCTTTTTGGTGCACTGAAGAGGATTCAGTTTAACTGCCAGAACAGCTTATGATTTTCTATATCTGTACTAGAAGTCTAATAATATCCAGCTCATGAAAGGAGATTTTAACAATGATTTTGAGGAAACAAAAATTACCCTTTTTCACAAAAAAGGTAAAGGTTTATTTACAGATCTTTAAAAAACTGAGAAATAGCCCTTTAATTTAGCACTCACTGCAATTGATTAACCTGACAACCAATAAAAATGGTAAATGACTGATTGGTTTCAGTCAATAACAGTGAATAATTTATAGCCCTAGAGATCAATTACAGTGATGCGTTCAAACACAGCATGCTAATCTTCGTGTCAACCTTAGTTGTATGATTAATATCCTCTAATATTAAATTTCTAGAAATGTTAATGGTGTCGGATGAAAGCATTTGTCCTCTAACCCAAGAGTTGTTGGTTCAATCCCTGGCTCTGGCTTTCAGTGTCATTACACTAATTAGCCAACATTTTGGTTAAAGTGACCCATTTGTATTGGTTTGCCCTTTTATGTGAAGTGCACTTCTTATCTTAAAAATACGTATTCCTCTGGCTGACAATCTCGTTTACCTACTCAAGTTAAGGGTAAAAACACTTATTTTAAGAAATGTTTTTTAATTTTTTTAGATTGTTTTTGCAGTGAATGGTCCAGAACCCTTCTATCGGACAGGTTATTCTGAATGGGAGCTTCTATAGTGCATTTCAATGTAATTCCTATATTTCTGCTATATAACTGCACAGTTTGATTAAAAAAAAGTCCTAAACTACAATATTGTATGGATGTAAATCAAAAGTTTTATCTTGGTATGTTGTTATATCGGTTTCTTAGGATAAGGATAGGATGACAGGTCTGCGATTGATATGATGCATTAATATCTGCCCATCAAACACACTGATATCAACCCATAAAAAACAGATAATGTTTGACCGTTTTACTTTTAAGTTCTTAAAGGCATCAGGAATTAAAATAAAAAAGAACATACTTCTAATATAACGGATAACAATTGAAGGTGTACCTTACAGGAGATAATGTGGATCGATCTCTCCATTTTGCATCAACGTAATTGGATTGTTAATCATTTATTCCATGTGGATCAATGTATAGTTACATCCCTAAAACATTAACAATTCAAAGAGATTCACTGATGTGCAACAATCCGAATATCTGTCTATCGTCCATACAAGCTGATCCTTAAGTAACTGTAAAATATCATATTTGCACTATCACTCTGGCTGATTTTTTCTTAATCCCTCTAAATAGAACAAAACTCAATGTTCTAATGCATTTTGCAACATATTTATTTTGCATTGCACTGAACCTTTCCAATGCCTTTTGCACCATGGCCATAAACTGGTTTTCCTTTTCTCCTACACTGTTTACATTCTGATCACTGCCGCACTTTATAAATTGAAATGTTCATTTCACTTTTGTAAGCTGCTCATTCGCTGTTAAAAAGCTGCCTGCATCGAAATTTAATTTTATATACTCTGTAAAAAAGATGACGATAAAGTTTCTCTAAGTCTGAGTAATTATCAAAACCCAAACAAATTTCAAATCACTTCTATACCAGCCACTTTTTGAAATGCTAGATGATAAAATGTAATTGGAAGAAAGAAAAGTTTATCTGTATTTTCTATGTTTACCACTAATTGAAGCAAAAAAGAAAGGCTAAATATGATCTTTTATAATTAATAGGTTCTGAAAACATACAAATCTGTGTTGTTAAAAGCAGGGACGGTTAAAAAAAACTGGAACTTTGTCTATCATTACCCTCCTTATGAGTTTTAATCTGGTTATACACATAGCCAATACCTAATCAAAGTTTTTTTTTAATTATTGACTTTGATGATTTTCAGAGATTTCAAAATTTATAACCACTCTAATTTCTAATCGCATGCTCTCTTTGGAGGACAAGAGCACCACTAAGGTTTTTAATGTACAGCCAGGGGCAAACATTGGGAAAAGACAGTAGAACTACTTCTGGTATGCAGTTGGTATAGTGTGCACACTAACACATTAAAACCGAAGAGAATAAAATTTTAGACCTCATAAATGATTTGGGATCAGTAAATATAAAAATCAGCAGCTTCCAAATGTTTGTCCAGGAGTGAAAACATTATGTGTTAACTCCAACAGGTTCGGGATGAGTTCTTACAGCTTGACAACACATAACTTTAGAGTTACAGAGCGCCAACAGAATGCACACCCGCAGCATTCAGCTGGCTTTACAGACTATCTCCAGCTGTTGTTGATGATGGACGCTGAAAAGAGTCAAACATGAATCATTATTCATCTTGGTGTAGTCTTGGCAACATACTTGTTTTTAGTGTAAATAGATGTGTCAATCAGTCAAAAATGCACAGTAAAAGTAAAACAGACGCGGACGTGCTTCCGCTGATTCTGAAGGGGGAAAAACTCAGATGACAGTGTTGTTAAAACCTGCAGCGGGTCGCACATTCTATTTTAGGACGTGGTTTAAAAAAAGTACAAAAAAAAAGATATGAAGGAAAACAAACAAAACTTCTCCCCAAAATATAGTTTCTTTGAGTTTTTTCATGTTTACAGTATGATAGATGAAGAGAACGAAGACAGATTTGATTTTCTTTGAATCCAGGAGAAAAAAGGGGCTAAAAAAAGAATTCCTTTTCTCAGAGGGGCTCTGATTGATTAAATCTAAGGGAGATAAACAGGCATGAAGGAAAGAAAAAAAGTAGGTTCCCCTTTGTGTGTGTGTGTGTGTGTGTGTCAGGCAGAAAAGATAAGGTGAAGAAAAGGCCCTCAGATACACCCTGAGATCAATAGGTAAATAACTGCAAATGGAGACACACTTACACTTGGTCATATACATGTGCGCAAACACACACCCACACAGAGAGCAGTCAGCTTATGAAAACAAGCCGTTTCACATCAATCACATCTATCCTTTGCTCTTTCTCTCTTGACCTTCAATCATTCCACCATGCACTCTTTCATCCATCCTCCCTTGTTCAGTGCATCTATCCTTTCTTTCATCTATTCCTCTTTTGCCTCTAATCCGTCCTTTAAACTGGGCCTACGTCTGCCATGTGCTCATCCAGTGATGAAAGGATCAGCTCAGTGATTCCTGCCAATCAGAGCACAGCAGGAACTCTCCTATCATTATTAACACACATGTCACCCAGACGTTACCAGGAAGGGGGGGGGGGGGTCGAGAAGCTCCACTGGGACTCTGCTATCAAGGTGTCTCCAGGGAAGATCATAATCGAGGTAGATTTACTTACTTATAGTCTCAAACACTCTGGTAGCTACACCAGATTTTCCAAGTATTAAAAGAAATTTGATGAAAGACATAACTCACCAGAGTCTGGCAGAGTGTGTAAGTCATTGTGTGTGAATAGTCTGCCCTTTCAACTCCCCTAGGCAGCGTGTTGGGATCAGAGAAATTCCTCAGCCGTGTTCTGTTCTTGCCACACCGGAAATGTGCGTGTGTGTTTCCAAAGCAAGGGACTGGCAGCATGAAAACACAACAGGTGTTGAACAGGGATGGCCAAAGGAGGTTGGTGGGTTAATGTTTGGAAAGCTGCCATAGCAACGTTTCTTGCAAAGTGACACATTTCTTTGTTCATGAACGTGAAACCAAAGAATCCAAGGTTTGGAAAGTTCTCTCACCGAAATTATGCACAATGAGGGTGAAAAGAAACAGAATACACACGTACACATGCAGATACAAAACATATCAGTGCTCTTGGCTTAAATATGACTGACTTGTTACACTTAACACTTTGTTTTATATGTTTTTTATATGTTACCAAAAAAGTGTTCCTGTTGCTTGACAACAGGTGACATGACTGCAAGGAAGCTGCAGCAGCCATTACAGTCCAACTGTATGTAGACTAACCAGGAAGTTAGGTTTAGTAGTTAAAACAAAATTATCCACTGAACCAACCTTAATAGCGAAATGGAATTTATAATACAATATCTATAATAAAATACTATCATGGCTCAGGAAAGCAGCCATAGTGCGAGACTGATCTCTGTGAGAAGCAGAATGGAGAGATACAGAAGATCTTTTGTCTTGACCACCATTAGACAGTTTAATGCCGCTTAACTTTGTGTTTTTTATTCTATTCTACATGTTTCTATCTTTGCTATCGGGCAGGTGAATTCCCCTTATCGGGGATTAATAAACTAACTAACTAACTAACAAACAAACAAACAAACAAACAAACAAACAAACAAACAAACAAACAAACTAACTAACTAACTAACTAACTAACTAACTAACTAACTAACTAACTAACTAACTGTCTGTCTGTCTGTCTGTCTGTCTATCTATCTAACAAGAGAAGATTCAGCAATAAGTTATTTAACTGTATCTGCTACTGCAGAAATACATTGAATTACTTTATCGTTCTTGAATTATTCACAATTTAAAGTACGTTACGGTACAGTGTTCCCAAAAAACAGTTTTACATTTAAGTTGAACTTTCAGGAGGAAAAACTGAAATGAAGATTGATTTATTAAAGAAATGTTTTATGCCACATCCAAAGAAATAATAGCCCTGGAGGCAAGAGAGGTTCCACAACGAAGTTTAACTAATTAATAAAGCTCCAAAAACAACAGCAAAAAAGCACAAAGGGAATCACCTCCCTCCATTTATCTCTAATGCTCTATTTCAATAACCTGGGAGTAGCCAGATTGAAATGTGTAGAACTGAGTTAAGTTCTATGTTATCAATCAGTGCGTTGAAAGGAGGGACGTTCAGTACAATACTTCGAGCTTATTGGGTTAAATGCCAGTTAGTACCCGTCTTCAATAATATGCTTTCAGCCAATCGTAGCAGCAAATCATGACGTTTCGTAAGCTGATAAATCAAACTTTTTCCACATCTTGTCTGAAGAAAAGCACAGACATTTTTCCCATCTACAAATGCACAAAGTGCTTCTTTTTGCTCTATTTTTAAACGAGCAAAAGTCGCTATTTTAGCTAAAGTCAACTTCGGTATCAACAGAGTCCTCCAGCATAGCCATGTTTGCAAGGTCCTTTTGACTGTCGTCATACCCACATGTCCCGCCCCAAGAAACACTGCTGGCATGTCATTGGTCCGACCTGCTGGTAGTTCGGTGACACGTATTAGCGAGAGTCCTTCAAGATGGATTTGTTGTTAGATTGAAAACAATGCAGCTTGCACCGCATGTTTACTATTTTAAACCAATAAGAACAGATTTTTTTCAAATTACATTTAAGAACATTCACATTTGGAGCCTGTTTGATGAATGGGGCAGTTTAGGGACTAAAATATTAAATGCTTGATCAACTAGACCTTGGAGAGAACTTAAAACTTATTTAATTATCATTAGATCGAATCGATTTAACGAGCAAACAGAGCCAGAACACCCATAAGCCTTTCTATTAAGTGGTTTTAGGTTTTTAATTCAATAATAAAACATATAAACAAATCAATGAGTAACTACTTGGGAAATATATTCACACTTAAGAGGAAGAGCCCAGCCTTCAGAACCAACTGGCCTTACTTACAACACACATTTTTAATCAGAGACCCTCTTTTTCTGAAGTTATTTTTACAAACCTCCACATAAACTCTTCTTATCATTTAATTAAGTGTAAAGCTTGAGCTCATGTGTCTCCTTCTCTACACAGAAGTCATGGAACATGGCCTCCAGGCATGCTCTCCCTACAGAAACGTGTGTCCATATGGCTGCATGGGTTGCGTGAGAGTGCAAGCACCCCTTCCATCCTCTCTGTCTCAGCGCTGATCCCTTTGCTAGATGGATGTTCAGGTCCCACAGCCCTTCATAAGAGTTTACATTTATGTTAGAAATACGCGGCACAAACCGTGTCACGCAATCTACCAGGAAGTCAGTTATGTAGATGCAGTCAAAAGGTGGGAAAAGCTGGTGTTACAATAAATGCAATCTGTCTGCAGATCTTTAAGTCTACACTCCCTAATGAAATGCCCGGTTCTTTTGTTAAAAAGAAGACAAAGATAAACACTACATTAAACGCTAAATCTATGCATGTAATTTTCCACCATTATTTTGATACTTGTACTGTGATATTCAACTAAAAACAAAGAAACTTTTCTGGTTTTTGAAAGAGCTGCAATAAACTGGTGAAGGATCTAAACCTCTCTATGTAAAACAAGTGTAAAACAAATGCCAGTGTATAACATCTTCCTTTCTTCTGCTTTGCACACCCATGGTCTAAACAAGTGAAAGGTTATGAAAATTTACTCAACACAATGAAGTTACACACACTGGATTATATGCTATGATTAAGCAAGGTTACGAATATTATTGCTTACAAAACCCTTTCATGGGTTTTTTAAGACCAATTTTACTCATCGGAAAGGAGAAAACATTGAACAAATGTTTTTACTTCATCTCTGTACTGCCATGTCATGATGATTTTAAGATGCTTATTAACATTGAATCCCCTTTATGTGTTGGAACAGAGTTGTTTTTATCCTGTGAGCCCTTACAAACAATACTGAGGAGGCTATTTTTTTAATTTTGTGAGTTCTCAACACACGGGTTGAAGGATTTCCTACTAAAGAATTACCACTATAACTTAGAATTTGAAGAGTAGCTTGGTAAGATAAGCATTTGAAAAACATTAATGCACGTCAGAGCCAGTTTTAGAGAAGAACCAAAAACTGACTCATCCACAATTGTGAAACTGTCAAGCATCGTCTGTACAAAAATATTAAATATAAAGGAGATCTTTTAGATTTAAGGTAATATTTTAAGCATTTTTTTAACTTGAAACATAATTGTTAGCTGCTCTTACTCTACTACTGAGGGGGTTATTTAAACATTTTGATGTTTCAACCCCCCAGCATAGACAATAGTTATTTAAGCCCCGTCGCACCTTGCCGAGACAGCGTATGCCTGACGTCCGAGGATCTTCTAAAACGCTGGCATATGCTGAACTTTCTATGTATTTTTTGTTATTAAGGGCATATACATAGTATTCATAACGAGTCCAGAATTTAAGTCCAACCACAGCCTAACTTATGCATAACCAAGGGCGTAGGTTTGATTTCAACTTTGGTAGGGACACTATTCTTCAGTTTCATTGGTCCTTTGCAAAAATATGCATGCTCTTTTTTATGCTTAATGTGAGCTTCAGGGCTCATTTTGTTTAAAGAGAACAGCAGCATTTCTTGCTACATTAATACAAATCTTATAAGCACTACATGCACTAGATGCTGTTTATCAATATTTAAAGCATCACTGGTTCTGATGAATGTGGAATTAGGACTTTTTCCACTTTGAAAAGGATTGCATTTAAATTTACCTGCTACTAAGACAGTGTCTGTTTAACCAAATATAGTCTATAATATGTGGATTTATCCTGTGTTTTCTTTTGATGATATAGAATTGTGCAGAGGTAAAACCCACTCTTATTTTTTTTAATCTAATATGCTCTCTCTGGATCATGCAAAATAATACATTCAAGGGACGGCAAATAAATGTATTGTATTTACATGTGCACTGGAACTAGAAGAGGAACTGACACTGAGCATTTAAAGTATTAATATTAGAAGTTGTACATCTGGGCTGTAGTTACTCTGTGTAGCTAATTTCATGTATTTTATCTATGGCTGAAACAATTAATCATATTAACAAATTATTTAAATAATCGTGAACTAATTTAGTAATTGATTAATCGTAAACTGGAGTATAGGGCCACTAAAATGTGCCTTTAGCCGACAGAGCGACCCACTTAGAGCAGGAATTATACCAAGATTGTAAAAAATATGTAAACATTTAGCATTTAAGAAGTAAAAAAAAATAGTTTTTGTCTGTCAATATTCTCCATCCAGAATTCCTCCAAAGGAAACGTTTAAACGTTTCTGTTTCACCTGGTTTCATTTCATAAAAGATCTTCTTTAAGGAACCTTTGGCTATCTGATTAAAATATAAAATAAAAGAAATCCTAACGTTGTTAACTTACATTTCTCAAGTTCCACAAATCAAAAAACTCTCTCCTGCTTCTTTACAGAACTCCAGTCAGAAGCTTTCGCCTGTTTTAGCGTAGATAATATTTTTTTTAACTTGGACTAGTTTCGTAGAACAATATTAATTTATTTTAGCATCTTTATTTTTTTCGAGCTCCAAGCACCCGCGCGCGCTCACATACAGACTAGAAAACACGCAATCAGAAAGAGAGAAGGCAGAATAATCAGAGAGTTAAACCGCACAGCACAGTTGATGCGCTGCTATGTGAAAGGGACAGGAAAGAGCAGGCAGCTGCAGCTACCAGGCAGAGAAGCTGCGAGAGGAAAATAAGCGGCTGCTGTATAGTAAATTATAAACATGTTGTTCACATCCAATTATTGGTAGGGACAAATGGGTCCGTCCAAAATTTTGGTAGGGACATGTCCCTATGGTCCCTATGCAAACCTACGCCCATGTGCATAACGCATGGCGGCGTAATGCCCATGAACCGTCACAAGCCAGTGTCCTGAGGGGGGCAGCAATGTGCCAGGAGGCACCCGGCCTGCATAAAAAGATTTATTTGATTGTGGTATTAAACTAGCTGGTGTTTACCACCTGGCACAAGAAAAAAAGAATAAATAAAAATAAAAAATGAAAAGAAACAATAAAAGGGTTTGCAATCGCAGGAGATTCAGCGTCATGTCTGCTAGGAAGTTTGTTGGTTGTGGGCGTGAACGCAGGGCGGATCCATCACATTCACCTTCTCACTCACCCTATGATGGAAATCGAGTCTGGAGGATTTCCTGTTTCCTCCGGTGAACCCCCATTTTATACCAATACGCTCCTAATACGCCATTATACACATGTTCAGCATTTGCATGGAACACATCAAATACGTGATATGCGTTGGAGATAAGTTCTTGATAAGTTCCTTAGAAGTTATGCACAAGTTACTCATAGGTTCTGGATAAGCTAGATGCCACGACTTATGAGTAACTTACACTTAACGTATGTCAATGATCAAATAACTAACCTGTAACTTATGGCCCACGTATGGCATATGCTGGCATATGTCGGGAAATTTCGAGCATGCTAAAAATTTCTCTATGTACTTGCCGTATGTTGGTGTGTGCCAACGTGTTTTAGCATGCTTCGGTGTGCTCACAACTTATACAAAACGTACCCATAACTTATCCAACATATGCTAGTCTTTTTGCCAGATTTTTCGTTTGTCAGGCATACACTGGCTAAATTGTCAAGGTGTGACAGGGCCTTTGAAGATGATTTTAATATATTTTAAATGTAGATTTGTCATTAACAACATGGCACAAATAGCTGCTTTGTGCTTCAGCACCTTAATATAATTGCACAAGGTGTTGCTGCATAGACTACCGGTTTTTCAAGTATGACTTGTATTAGTAATACTCTGACATCTGAGGAGGTTAAGATTCAACATGTAAGGTTAATCTGGTCAGAGAGGATTTCAGGAGAGAACACTCCAAGAGTGGAGTAAACAGCTGAATAACGCAGAACATACACATGAAATCAAGCATATTTTAGCGCATATTTTAAATCACTTTAACAACTACATTTATTGAGTTTAGAACTCATATTTGACCAAATATTTAACAAAATATACAGAGGCAGTTTAGCCTCCCTAGTATTCAATAAAAATATCGCTGTTTTTGAAATAGCTCCATTAGTTTAATTCTGATATTCTTTTTAAACCAAATGAATTTCTGTTTTTGGATCCAAGTTTTGGTTTTTGGATGCTTTTCTACTCTGGTGTTGGATGTTGGGAAGTTTAAAGGATTTTTTGCTGATATCTTTTTGCTTTGGGACATTTGTTATGATACATAACAGTAGCAACCATAGATTTATTTCTATTTTTTATTTTTTATTTTTTTTTTTTTACAACCATTAGTAGCTAATAAACATTTCAAAAGCTGAGATAATACTTTAACTACTAACACAACCCATTAATAAGTTGAAAATGAGCCGATGAGGATCAAAAAGAAGAGAGATAAGGAGGAAATTCAAGCCATCTCTTCCATCAATCACTCTGGGCAAATTAGGAAACAGGTTTGAAATGGCGAAAGCCCTAGCAAGGAAAAAGCCAGAATATCAGGAATTTGATACCCTTTCTACCTACAGTATAGTTCCTGTCTCTAGAGGTAAAGTAAAAAGGCAACTGGAAAAATTAATCAGAATACGCCACCAGGTCCAGATGGTGTTAGCCCCAGGGCCCAGTGTTACTGGTCTGGGTAGCTGGAGGCTGTGGTTGCTGGGGATTGGTGGCAGAATAAGTTTTCAGGTTGGAATGCAAGAAGAGGAATTTGGGTTAAGCTAGGTGGTCAATGCGGTATGGAGGGCAGATGCCCGCTGGCAGTGGGCTCTTGTTACTGGTCTCCTTGGTTCCTGACCCCCTGCTCTCTAAAATATGCTCCTTTAACCTTCCTCCAGAGGTTGAGATCTTTTAATGTTTGCAAGGAAATGCAGCATTTTTTAATGAAAATTGTTGTTGCAGTGATCTTCTCTGTGCTGGGGTGTGTTGAGGAGGTAGTGCAAGCAATAATAACAACAAGTGACTAGATAAGCCAGTGTAAGCTCATTGCTTATCAGTGGTCTGGAGTCATTACAGGCAGTTGAGGAAAGGGCCACCCTGAATAAACAGAAAGCAGTAACAGCAGACACCCAGTTCACAGCCTAGTGGTTAGCAAGAGGAGCAGCTGTAGCAACAACAGGGGTTTACGCTGCCTGCAGTCCAGAACACAGAAATGAAGAAGACCTTTTGTTCATTGGGTAATTAGATTAAATGATCTATCAATCATTTATCTAGCAATCATTGTATTTCAAAGAGCAGCAGGGATGTGTTTGGTTTGAAGCCTTAAATGACTAGACCTTTGTTTGAGTATACATAAATCAAATTCTCTGTTTTTGTAGCTTAGCTGACCAGGCATGTTGAATGCGAGCATTTCCTAGTGTGGGTGGTGGTGAGGCTCTACAGATGGTTCTGGCTGGTTAAGGGAAATTACAATGAGAAGCAAGCCCACAGTGATCTGCTCTCAAGCATTTTCCCGATAACACCATCCACAAGTGTCTTCATTCAAACATGTGTTTTCATGTTTCTGGGGGAGTGATGTGCTTTACCACATTAGGTGGTAGACTTACATCAGCTGCTGAGTTAGGTGTTCTTTCTCCTCTTTCATTTTCTCGAGCTCCACAGTGGAATCCCGGAGCTCCCCATCCAGCGCTGTTGACACACAAAGAGAAAGACCTACAGATTCAGGCTTAGTTGACAGTATGAAAAGTAATTCACAACGGGTTTGATGTGAAGTTTCTCACCAGAGGCAGTAACAGGAGGAGAGAAACTTGTGAAAGTGAACAAAAAGGCAGATTCACTAAGTCCTTGTGGTGTCTCCTCAAACTTCCTCAAACAATGTACATAATAAGATAAAAATTGAAGTTGGAATTGAAAAAAGACCAGAAAGAGAGGATAGCAGAGAGGAGTGAAATGTCTCCTGCTTTGTGATCTCAATTTGTAAAATTATCAATCTTTTTTTAAAGGATTTTTAGGAAAAACAAAAAAGAGATTTTAGAAATGATTATTTTTTAAACTTGGTTCCGCTTTACTGCTTCAGGACAATGAAAGCTAAATCCTGGAGGAGAAAGTCCATCAACTCCCTTGTAAAGCTGGACAATAATCCAAAGCAAACCAGCTATTCTACTAAGAATGGGTGAAAAAATTAAAAATAAAGGTATTTTAAGGTTACCATCAAGTTTAGATTAACCTTAAAATCTATCGCAGAATTTTTTTTAACAGTTCAATCAGGCTTAAGAACTATCCAATGTGGCTGGATAAAAAGAAAAAAAAAACAGCAAGAAAAAATCTTTGTATCTGTAAATACATTTTTTTTTTCAATCTAAAACATCTACAGATGCATATCAATATATTGTATTATTATTGATAAGTTCATTTGGTTTAATACTAGTCAATATGCTGCATGGAAAACATTATATTTCACATTATATTTTACACAAACTGGTGTTTTCAAGCCTGTGTTTCTGTCAAATATATTTGATTGTTTGTTAATAGTATGTGTAATATGTCCTTCAAGGTTGTTATTTTCACTAAAAGACACATTCTAATTTATTATGAGGTACATGTAGAAGTAAAACCATCCAGGAAATATATCAAATTTACAAAATAAGCTATAAAAAAAGATAGGAATAAACATATATTATAGCTAATAGGACAATGAGAGGCCATGATGATCCATGGCATCTTTCCCTGGCAGTTAAACCTGAGCTTTATTAATGTAGCTGCTTTCCAGGCCAGCAGACGCATTTTTCAAAAGAGCAGCCCTGCTAGAGATGCTCTGATGCAATATTTCAAATATAAATGAGGCCAGCAGTATGACAGACTGTGGTGCTGAACTTCCAACAGCTCCGGGCTGAATTGGACATCATCTGAGAAAGAGTATTTGAGTTCCAAATCTGGACAGTAACAAACTTGAAACGGACCACAGTCATCATGGATAATGTCATCAACAGAACATATTTACTTACTGGCCCGCTTCCCTATCTTATGATTGAAATTAAATGTAAACAGCTTAATGAAAGCAATAAGGTCTCCCCCTCATTGCTTTCATTAATCTCAAAGACATAACAGTTATTTACTTAGACCATATTTAGGTGGAAATGATCCCTTTCTGAAAGTTTCTTTTTGAAATAACACTAAGACAGATTACGTGTTTAGGTGAATCAGTGAGACTTCTGCATATATTGGCTTACCACTGTCCAGACTTTTATTTTTGCAATAAAATGCGGATCATAAATTCTGGTTGTAATGGGGAAAATATGATCCAGAGAGATTAATTAATGTGCATCACTCGGTATAATAAGCAAACTTTATTAATCTCACATTGGAGAAATTTACCTCTGCATTTAACCCATCACCTTGGGGAGCATTGGGCTGCCTTTGTGGGGCGCCCGGGGAGCACTGTGGGGTTAAGGGTCCTTCTCAGAGACCCAGAGCGGCAGTCTGTGGGAGTGGGGCTCAAACTCAGAACCTCAGTATTCCAAACTCTATGCCCTAACCACTGGGCCGCCACTGCCAAATCTCCAACTATCTAACTCTTAATAAAAGTATATATGTATACACCTACATCATATACATCATTTTAAGTAATATTACATACTGAAATGATGTTTAACAATATGGGTTTGACTGACAATCTGATAAAAGCATAATGTTAACATATAACTTAAAATAATTGCAATAGCATAAAGTAATTGTGATGTAATCTACATCAGTTTTTTCATAGAGAGCTTGCAAAAGCCAAAACTGAATCTTCCTGTAGAAGTATGTGCTCTCCTTCGTAAAAATGTGAGAGTGTGTCTCCAGTATATTGGAAGAATTGTCTGTGAGGGTCCTTCAGAGAGGTGCAGAGGGGCACAGCGGCTGGGGTCCTGGAGAGCACTCAAATGATTCAGCAATGTCAGGCTGACATTCTCTCCCTCTAAGTTCTTGTTTTGCTCGCTTGCCCTCATCGGATTTTCACTCTTCATTCTCCCCTCAGTCCGTCTTTTATAATCAGTTCTCTTCCGTGGCTCGTTGTTTTTCTTTCTCTCTCACCCTCTCTCCTCTTGCCTTTCACTCACTCTGCTTCTCTCTACAGGAAGAGAAGAGTGGAGGAGGTCCTACTCAAACCAGCAATACAACGATAATTGCTTTCTGGTCACCGTGACATAACAAGGCCCAACCAGGGTAAAGCATCATGCTCGCTCACTCAAGCTCAAACTCAATGACAGAAACACACAAAAAAAGAAAAGAAATCACAGGAATGAGAAAAGCTGCCATGAACGACAATGGAAAAAACACACAGGTGAATGCACACACTCTACAGAGACATGCCCAAGCAGAACTTGCATTGAAGGAGCAAAAATGGCTTGAAATGAAAAGTAACCTGGCCTGAAATTTTACTCTGCCTTCCAGTGAAAAGCAGTAGGAAAACTTTATAACAGAAATACTAACTGCAACTAACAGGCTGACTGCGACTACTATACTGTAAAACACTTTAAAATTGCTGTTTACATGGCAACAGTTACATTACAGCTGATATATTTACCAAACACATATTTTAGACATAACAATTCAAGATTGAAAACTATAATTACTGATAAAAAGTGCAAAATATTTAATGAAAACTTCCACTGGTAATTACCAGAATTACTACCATAATTACACTCATCACTGACACTTACTTACTTACTTCAATGCTCTGGTCTTTACCAGGCTCTAAATTTATTATTTAAATCAAGCATCAGTTGTACAAAAACAAACACCACAGTTTGACATTTAATCTTTTATTGAAACAATATAATACCAAAATAAAAAAAAGATTAAAAAAAGAACCCCAAACCACTTTTATATCTCCAAATAAAATGTATAACCTAAAATCTGAATCTGCAAATGTATAAAAACCTTTCATAAGTGTTCTGTGGGTCTAAGCATGAAGAAATAACAAGCATCTTGAGGACCATGCAGTTTTGTCATTCCCCAGAACCTTGTGTCTTACTTTGCATAAGCCTGCATCAGGATAAGGAGTGGATGCAGTTACACTGTTAAACTGCATCAGCAGGAGGAGGGTAATATTTGCAGAGGTGTCACCATTTTTGTTTTTTTGTGTCTTTTTGTATATAATGGCTCATAATTAAGATACGGGATTGCAGAAGAAGAGGTAACTCTTTCTTTTTCTGTTTTAAATCTTCAGATGTATTTATTTTTCTTCTTCAGTTGAAAGTCATCTTTTAAAAGCAGGAATGAAATCCACTAGTCCACAAACCAGACCCCCTCATGTCATTTGCTGCTGCTTGAAATCTTGTCCATAAAGGTTACAAAGGTTATACTAATAATATTGTATTGTTTAGCTAGTAGTATTGACATTTCTACAGTGAACGCAGGGGTTAGTGTGTAATTCAACTATTGCTTTTTTGTGATAGGAAGATATACAAATAAATATGTCATTTATCAAAAGAAAGACATTTCAACTCAGTTTTAGATAAAAGGGTGGTGAAAGATTTCACCTTACACTATTGGTTCCAGAACCTTTTAATCCCCAACTCACCTTTTCAAGAGTTGAAAAAGAAAAGTCAACTGCAGTACATGAAATACTGCAGGTACATAAACTAAAATTTCCTTTAAATCACAAAAGTACCACCTTTAAATTGTAATTTGTTCCCTTTGAAAGTATTATTTTACTGTTTAACATCATTCAACATTGATTTTACCATGACTGAGGCTGTTTCTCTGCATTAGCATACCTTTGTTGTTTATAAGAAAACTCAGAACAAGTGATCAAACATTCCGTGAAAAATAAACATATTCCTATAGCTAAAGGGGTGACAGAGTAATTCATTGCATTTTTACCAACAGTTGTTATATGTTGACTCAAAAGAAAGCACCAGCATACTTGTGGTTGTCACTTCAGAAAATCATTGCTTCATTAATAGGATTAAATAACTTTAAAGCGCCTGAGAAAAGCTCTGATGTAGCCACTGAGTGACAGCTGTGACTGACAGTTTAATTGCCTGCTGTACTCTGCAGCTTTTGGACTCATGCTGCGTAAGGCTGCAGGAGCTTCAAACACGGTTTCTTCAAACATGCAAGCCTCGTGCTTTTTAGGCTTTTACGGGACGTTGTTGAGCTTGCACCTGATATGAATTGAGATTATTGCCTCTTTAGCAAGATATGCAATAAACTTTATATTTCTAAATGATTATATAACCTTCCTCTCAGTTTGATTTTTTAAGAATATTTTTAGGCCCTAGTGGGTTTTATTGATGTTATTTTTAATAGTAGATGTACATGAGATGGGATTAAAGAGAGAGGGAAGACATGACAAAGGTCACCAGGCCGGGACTCAATCCTGTGACAGACAGAGCCTCCGTACATGGGTTGCATGCTTAACCCCTGTAGCATTACTGCGCCCCAGTTTGAAGTCTTTTAACGAGGTCATTCGGATACAATAGACATGAAGGAAGAAAATCATAATCATTCAAATATTAAGTTATATCTAAGGATTGACAGAGTAGATATTGAACACGTGAAAAACAAAAAAAAAAAAAAGATGTGTCAAAAACACAGCAACAATCTGTCAGCATTTTCTAAGCATCTATTTCCTGTTTCATAAAAAACTGTATAATCTGTCTATAAATGGCAATTATACTGTTGATAAGAAATGCTTTTTTTTCTTTTTACAAAGGCATATTATATTTATGTAAGTTGTTAAAATAAGTAATTCCATGTCATTTAGATTTTGCAGACAAGCAAGAACAACTCAATAACTTTGTTCGGTAGATTACTTGGGTTAGCGTGTATTTTTTCGTCAAAAGCCTCATTAAAAATAATAGACCTGAGAATAAAGCTGTATTTTGCTTGAGAAAGAGTTTTATTTCATCTTTTTATTACCAGAAATAAAATGACACGGACAAACATTCTGTCTTCAGAGGGTTTACACCATGTGAAGAAATGCAGATTTATAAGGAAAACTCACAGCAAGTAACAGTAACTCACATTGCCAGACTCGCTGACAGCGTGCAGCTACCTTTACAAATACCTATAAAAACATACACAGAGTTGCACCCTGGAATTATTATAAGTGTCTATGTTACTATAATACTACATTCTTTGGTTTTAAGGTACCACAGTCTTTTTTTGGATGTCTGCCCCGTTTAATATGGGTAATAAAAGTACAGCAGCTCCTGAACCACAGCATTTCTGTGAAAATCCACAGTAGAGACTTGAATTCTGGAGAGTAACTACCTTAGGCTAGAGACTGAATTTGCTCAACTAGTTTCAGGTTGGAATAATGTTAATTTTACATCATTAAAACTGAACCTTGTACATGTCAAATCTAAACTCTCATATATTCTATAAAGGCTGAAGCAGCGGAAAGAAGCCCTGCACAGGGAGGTGATGTAAAGAAAGACGTCTCACTTAGCAGCCTTCTGTCCCTGACGATATATGTGACATTTTTATTTTGCTACTATAAACTCAGACATGCACAAGACTGGTTCCAAAGGAAATAGATACCTTATACAGTAGTCTTTGGATGGCTCTTCGTGTTGGCAGATGGCTTCGGTTCATAGATCGGTCAAACACACTTGCATGCACACCCACATACACACACACCCAGACAAGATCCCACACACCCTTGGATCTTTTTAGCAACTGTATTTGTTTTAACCTTTTCTAAAATGTAAAACAACTCCCATAGTGTCAAACTTCTTTGAAAAGCCAGTTTTGTGTCAAGCTGCACAACTTCTTTGCTGATTTCTGTGCAGAATAAGCTTAGATTGTGTCTTCATTTTGCTGTCATCTCATTGGCTGCCTTTGTCTCACTCACTGTAAAATTCCACAGCCCTCGAGCCTGATCTGTCATCTCCTCCCTGTTCTTCCCCATTTAGCCATAAACCACATTCATCCATGCATATTAGCCAACCTCTTTATGTTTGTCTATTTTTCCTTCACGTCTCCTAACTGTTGTTCAAGTAAAACAAGAGGCATTGATAGACAGCACTAGGTGCTAACATATTGTTTTGGTTTATTTTCCAGTTGATGACAACATAAAAATTTCTTTTGTCTTTTTCTTTAAATGCTAATATAACTGGTTAGATTCCAAGCAGATATAATTCTTAGTATTTCATTGCTTGGTATTTTGAGATTTTCTTTGGTTTTATTATTCAGGTCTACACCTTTACTAAGAATGAGAGGAGATCATATGATTTTGAGTGCTATGAATAGTCAAGACACATAGGCTTTTACCTGTTAACTTATTTGACGTTTTCCTCCTTTTTTCCTCCTGAGGCTGATATAATCATATTTTAGCATGAAATAGAAACAAGAAGTCATAATAAAGATGAATTGAATGATACTGGCAAATGCATATCGGCCGCTTGTTGGTTTCACTTTAACATGGCAGACCAGTCAGCAGTGTTTTATGGAAAGTCGAACAAAGTGTGGCGTGGATGTCCCTTGGTTCGCCAGATTCTCAAAAGACAAAACCAGCTTGGAGAACTGGGTTTCCATCTAACTAGAACCCAGTAAGGGGGCCTGCTGTCCAGCACTGGTGGTTGATCAGCATCTGGGACAGTGACTCTGGCAACTTTGTTTAACTTTCCCCTGCAAATTTCTACATAAAGTCCAGACAATGTATTCACTGAATAGTTAAACAACGCAACTTTGTATTTAAATTGAAAAAATATTTCTGGCTAATGGATTATGAACAACTTTAAACCTTAAAATCAATGTTGTCAGCTTTTAGCCAGGCTATCTGTTAAAATGAAAGATTCCAACATCCCAATCTAATTCATTGTAAGTAATAGAACAAGCAGTCTTTGAGAGAAAAATGAAAACACAGTTTGGATGATCTGTTAGTAATTTTATTCATTTGTCAAGCTGTATTTCCAGCTTCAAAGCCACAGACAGAGCAATCTATTGATAAATAGGATTAAAGTTAGAAATAAAATAAAAAAACATTCCTATTATAATTGTAGCAACTAATCATAATAATGACTTATTCAAAATAAAAATGTGTTAAGCACGTTAAATATTTGCTTAAGACAAAGATGGGCATGAAAATGATAAATGCAAAATGCCTTTGCAAATTCTCTGTCATCCAGGTTGCCATGACCCATGACGCAAAAGCAACGCAGACATGAGAAATGAGCTTTCACTAGGAAGGACCTAGCCTGGCAAATGGTGGATCCCATCATGCATTGCACTTCGAGGTAAAAATCAATATGCAGCACGTTAACATCATCCCTGGGAGATGTCCGTAAATTTCAGCGAAACCTCAGACCTCAGTTAACCCATGTGAATGTACTACATAGAATGTGGGGGGCGTAGTTTATTATATGAGGTCTTCAGATGATGTTTAATATCTGCAAATAGGGCTTCATTCTACCAACATTTATAGGTGGAGTCTCAGTTCTGTATTTCATTGCCAATAAGTATTTTATTAATTATACTTTTGTTCCTTATTGTAATTACTCCTACCTCTTTGTTTATTTCCTTCAGTGCCAGAATATTTATCTCGTGTGGAAGTATATGCAACAAGATATTTGCTGTTTTCAAAATGTTAATATTGAGAAAATATTTTGGAAATAAAAAGAAAATAACTGACAAATACCACATTATTGCTCATTTCCAGGTGGGGGAAATCCCACAATATTTGTACACAGGGCCCCAAAATGAATAGTAACGCCACTGATCTAATTTTTTTTGTTTCATGTGTTTCTTGTAGCGTCAGGTTCTCCTTTGGATGTGCTAATGCAAGCATATAGTAAGACCTCTGTAACTGTGTGAAGGGCTGTTCAGAATGATATTTTTATCATTAAACTAAGGACCTAAAGTGAAGAGCCAAAAAAAGCTTGTAAGAGTCATACGTATACTATCGTGAAACAAGTCCTTCACAAAGTGTTACCCAGAGATAAAGAATCCATCAATACAAAAGCAACATAAACACAATATTACAGTTTGCTAATGCACATGGGGCCAAATAAAAAGTGGTTTTGGTCACAATAACCATAGCTCCATTTGAATAGTACCAGTACCAGTCTCTCCTGCAGGTTGGTTTGCTGCGGAGGAGACTGGTGCACCTCTTCAAAGAAACGGTTCCATAAGGAAAGAGCATTATGTGGAACCATTAGACTGAAAATTTTGTCTGATTAAATGTCAAGAAAGTGAAGAATGAGGTAGCCATGTCTTCCACTACAGAGTAGGTAGATTACTGCCTGTAGTACTGTGGTAAATTTTGCTAAACATTTTATTATCACTTATATTGCTATTGAAATATAGACCATGAAATATATTAAGAATGTTATGATCTATTTTCAAGTCCTGTAGTTCTGTACCAAAATCTTTGTACCATCTTTAAAACGAAGAGAGAATTGATAATTAAGACTACTTAAAAATACTACAAAAACTCAACTTCAAAGAATAAACAAGCTAGTGTCTGTTTTAAATCTTTGTATTGTTTGTTGGTTCTTTTGTTCTTCACCAAGCTGCAAAGCTATGAATTGAAATCTCAAATTCCCTAAATGATTTAAACGGAACAAAGCATGAGATGCAGGTTCAGCTAGTTTTGCATGTCTTTTGCTCCGTGTATTTAGATGGATGCTGTGTGTCTCCATCGTCTACGTGCATCTTATTGTATCAGTCGGTCCGTGCAGCAGCTGCTTTCAAGATCACGTCACAAAGCAAACACACACTCACATTGCATCAATACAAACAGTGGACCACTTACTTTATGTCCCTCTTTCTATTTCAACTCATCTTTTCTTTCTGGTTTTTCCTCTTGTGTGTGTGTAATTATACAAACACGCAAGGACACACACACACACACACATTTGGCAGCTGTTTAGAGCATTCAGCGGGGAGAAATAGACCCACCCATGAGGTGAGCTGGAGGTTAGCACTCCTTGAGACATTTACTGTCAACACTGAACACACACACTACAGTCACGCTCCTTTAACCAAAATCTATCATCAAATTCTGTTTTTATAGATACTACACATATGTAACAATAAAAATATGTGCTATCTTACCAGACGGGAGTTAGTACATTAGTTTGTCTCTGCAAGTTTACACTTGCAGAGACAAACTATTAATCTCAAACAGTCTGTGCAATAGTTTATAATATTTAGTCCTGCTAAAAGATTATTTATTTTAGTCCCCTTTCCTTTTTTCCTCTATGTCAGTTCTCACTCAGATGACAATTTAGGACAAATAAAATCTGCATACTGTTTGATTTCCTCTCAATGTGTGTGTGTTGAAAACTGAGCATGTGTTACCTGAGAACACCTGTTTGCAATGCAGCAAAACCTGAGACCCGAAAGCCTGGCAAGCCCCAGTCAGCTGATGGAGGAAACCCAGTACATCTGTGAACACGCTGCCACAGAAGCGAAGCACGGTCAAAGTTGTCCGGAGGATCTGTTGCTGCCGCACAACCACACCCCTACAACGCAGAAACACATAGCAAGGTTAAAGATGGAAGCCCAGAAAACAATTTACAAAAATATCCAATCAGGTAATTATACGACAGCAACTCAATTGCAAGTATCCATTATACAGTACTATCTTTTAGACTCACGTGGTGAAAAGTACCATAATATATTCTACCATAAAGGCATCCCAAATCTCAACAGGATAAAAAATGACATAATATAAAAGTAACCATGATAATATTAAAAGAAGGCCCGTTTTTGTAACACTTTTGCAGATATCCAGACGAGTACGGGTGCTTCTGACATAAAGTCACAAATGAATGCAAAGCGTGTAAGACTAGAATGTTGTAAAAGAACATTTTGTTACTCTAAGAAGACTTTAAGGGGAACATGTGGGTGAGAACATCCTGAACTCTTTTTTTGTTAAAAAAAAGGATATTTTCTAATAAATCCTGTGATAGTGATGCAGGAAGTTTTAGGGTTGTTATTTTCCTTATTAAGGGATTTAAACTCAGAATGATTCGGTAGAGCTCGGACAAAAACCGGATGAGACGGCAGTCTTCCAGCTGCTTTGTGGGGTCTTTGCACATGGCTGCAGGAGCATGGGCACAAGTTGTCACTGGAGTCAGTTTTAAGATGTCAGATGACATAAATCATAAGGCTGACGGCACCAAATGGAGGAACAGATGTGAGCCAGATATGTCTTTTGAGATTAGGCTGAGAGTGAAAAGCAGTGACACAGAGAGGCCGCGTGTATTTGACCCCTGATGATTTACTTGTACAAAATTTTCAGTGTCAGCCAAGTGATTGAAAAGCATCATTTCCTTGATATTTCATTTCTTCTCTCTTTGCCTCTATACCCTGTAGTTAGTTGCTCATGTCTTTTTCAGGCTCTCCCTATTTCCAGGAATTAACACCCCCTCCTGTTTTTTTCTCTCTTATTGTTTTCCCTCTATCATTTTTCTTAGCCTTTTTCCTGCTGACTTCCTCTCCTTGCCATGTATCTGGCAACGATACAAATAACCAAGCATGTGTTTCTTTTGTGTTGATTCTAAGAGCGATCCACATTTCAAGCTGTTTTTACTAAATCTTTGATAGACGACTACATCATGTCATTAGAATGTACTTTTGTTCTAGCATTCTTAGTGTCCCACTGTTACCTGAGTGCTCTAACGTGCTGCTTCTCTTTTACAAGCTTCTCCTCTATCTCATTCTTCAGGTCAGCTGTCTTCTCCAGCCTGTCAAGGAGAAAATAAAGAGAAATGCGAGGGAGTGGATGGGATCTGTCAGCAGCAATGCATTCTCATTAGAAAGCCTCAGCTCAACATAACACCACTTAACTCTCACAAGGGGGGAGTTAGTTTATAGGCAATTTATCTTAATGATCCAGATGGACGGATGATGTTGGTAAAATGAAGCTAGATTAAAAATTTAAATGTTCATCATAAGTGACTGATATGAGCAGAAGGGTTTCCGTTCCCACCTTATATTCTGCATCAGACCCAATAAACATAATTGGATTTGAGCAGCATGATGGTCAATAGTAAAATCTGCTTTTTTACACACTCCTGCAGAATTAGAAAAAAGACCATATTTACTCCACAGCACTCTATGAAGTGTGCAAAGGTTGTTAACCATCTGGTCTGCTGCACCACACTAATACTGCTGCACCACACAAATACGGCTGTAGGTGATAATCCATCCTATTAGCTGATTTTATAGCCAACAATAATCTAGACATAAATGAGTAAAAGGTTATGCCCACGGTAACTTAAAAACCCATCTATATTATTTAAAGGGAATATATCAAAGTTGTTTTATTTTTCATATTTTCCTTTTCTATGTTCAGGGATGTATTTTATAATAATAGTAATAGTCATGTTTTTCAGTATCTGAAATAAAGAAATATAAAAAAAAGAATAAAGGAATGAGATGTGAATGCAGCTGAGATTGATGATCCATCCATCCATCCATTTTCTGACACGCTTAATCCAAGTGAGGGGTGCTGGTGCCTATCTCCAGCTGTCTATGGGCGAGAGGTGGGGTACACCCTGGACAGGTCGCCAGTCCATCACAAGGCAACGCAGAGAGAAACAGGACAAGCAACCATTCACACTCACACCTAAGGAGAATTTAGAGAAGCCAATTAACCTAACAGTCATGTTTTTGGACTGTGAGAGGAAGCCGGAGTACCCGGAGAGAACCCACGCATGCTCAGGGAGAACATGCAAACTCCATGCAGAAAGGCTGGGAATCAAACCTGCAACCTTATTGCTGCAAGGCAGCAGTGCTAGAGATTGATGATGTTACATTTACAGCAACAGACTGACACAGCAATGCTCATCCCAGTGCTCATAAAGAAGAGGAAGCAAAGCACTCACATCGATTTCTATAGTTTTATCTATAGGGAGGAATATGGCAAGAGAGTTGCTCGTTTTCAGCACTAGCTTGGAGAATCCACAAACTGGCACCCTACCCCGGGATTTAAATGCTTTTTATTGTAAGCCTACTTTTCTTGTAAATCACCAGAGGAATGACAACTGTACAGAAACCTTGATTTGAAAAACTGAAATTCTTGCTGCAGGCAGACATATTTTCTTTTTGGTTCTCACCAGCAATGTTGCCCTTTTGTTTTTCCCAAAGGCACTGGCAACTGAATCTAGCAGTCAGACAGTTATTACAATGTTTGTCAGTCTGTCAGGATACAGTTTGCTGCAACGCCTGGCTGGTGGTTACAAAAAAACTTAATACCTAAAAGCAACTCCAGAAGTTTCCTTAGCTAGTCAATAGTCATAGCATTGTATTCATCCTTCAACTTTGAGCTGTTTCTTCATTTAAATTCCACTTGTTTCATAGTTCTGGAGAAAGGTGTTTCAAACAAACTACTATTTTTTATGGGTGAGAAGAAATTCATCCTTGCTGTCTGTGCTTTTTTCCACTGAGTGTATCCAAGTTTCCTACATAGATGATCTTTATAGCAAAATTACTCACTAAATCTATCTTCTTTGGCTAAGAAAGGGTCACACATTCATTGGAAATGTTAAAGTTTGAATGTCTTCTTTTAGTCAAGATAACACTAAAGAAAAAAAAACTTGATGATTTGTCTTCTACATTTTTCCAGTTTTTAGAATTGTATCTTTTGCTTTAATATCCCTTTTTACCAACAGGAATAATCAAATCTTAGAGATTGCTGCAAGGCAGTTTTAAAGGAAAAAGAGACTGCATGACCTGGACCAGAATGACGCCACAAAAAAGGTCCTGCAGCAGGATGGGGAAAAGAGTAAACATTATAAGCGGCCCAGCTTACACAAAGCAGACTTGACAAATAGAGCCTGAATGCAGTCAGATAATAAACGTGAAGTTTAGCTGGAAGTGCAATTGGAACGACACGTAATAATCTTGGTAGGGGATTTTCCACTTCTAAACCCATTCTTCTGATTAAATTGCAGTTTCATCGAAAAGTCTGAAACATTAATTTACTGGTAAGCCGCATGGGAAAGCTTATTTAACCTATTAAAATAATAAGGAGTCTAGGAGTTGATGGATCTGATGTAGGTGTCTAAATTCATGTCTGACTAAAGTACCAGTGCTCACATAGATTTTAATTAGGCCTTAAAATACCTTACCTCAGCTTATAAGCATTTAACAACTGAGCTAAACCTTGAGCACACGAACACTAAGTCTTTCTCCAGGCTTTGTTTGAAAGAAGTTGAAACAAATCTCACAGCTGGAAAATACTGACATTGAAAGTTATAGCAATTTTTAAAAAAAACAAATCTAACAAAAGAAACTTTTTTTTGGTAGATAAATATTTAAGTTATTTTTTCCAAGCAAGAGTGTATTTCTTTTTGGAAAAAGGACTTTTATTAAATGAAGTTAAATAAATAATAAATAAATAAATATAGTGAGACTATCCCTTCAGTGGACTTTTCGTATGCCCTCTCCCATTTAATCCTACAACGATTGTAAGGCAAACATACACTGTATAAAACACCACAAGGACTGCAGTGTGACCAATGCCGCAGTCGTATAATGTATTGCGGTTCCACTTTCATACCAATATTCATCCGTAAAATTCTTATATTTATTCTATTGATGCTGACTAGATATGCAGTAGATAATCTATAGAGTTATAGAAACAGATGGATTAAAAAGCTTAAATAATAACATCAGTTCACCTGCATATTTTGTCAAGGACATTCAGAGAAATAAACGCAGATAGGTGAGCACATAGGAGGTGGAAATTACCTCGGTAAGGGTTTTGTAAATTGCAGACCGCAACCATGCAGAGAACAACACACACTATTGGAGAGAATTTAAGCTTAACGTTCCATTTATTTAGTCACTTTCAAATTTTATTTATGACTACATGGGTTAAGTCATAATGCAACATTATTAGAAATTCAAGTTTAGATGCATCAATAAACCAGTTCTGAATTTACCTAGCAGAGCATTCATGTGAAATTCTGCTGTTGTGATGTTTCATATATGGGTATGAGTTTAAGAACATGCAGTGCTGTCAAAATCGATTTGTGTTCTGAAACATTTCGCTTAAGGGAGCATTAACTAAGAAATACACAGTGAAATTAGCCAATTTTATTCTCAGTTGACACGGGGATAGAAGGAAAAAAATTGGTCCTTTGCATCAACTCTGTTTTACTAAAATTTTCTCCTTTTCAACCTATAGGTACGCTATGAAGCTACTTTGGTGCAGTGTGTACCCGGTGTTCAATTCCAGCTAACTCTTTTGTGTGTTATTGTGATATGCGCTCCAAAGGAATATTGTACCAGTAGTGGTTATTATTATCTTACTTCAGACAAATGAATTTTTGAAGTTCTTAACATAACTAAAACTCAAGAAGCTTCGAAAGGTGTCAGGTCTTATGAAAAATTGCATATTTTAAAGGTTTTGCAAAAGACACATGAAAAATGCCTCTACATGGCAACACATTTAGTACAGATCCTACATTTACACTCTATGACACTGAACAAGGTGATACTAAAACTTACTTTGAATAATGACAGTTGGCTGGATTGTGTTAGTATTACATGCTTAGAACAGGTCAATATGTGGATCCTCCATAATTTTTTCCAACATTTCCAGGATTAAATGGCTAATGTCCAAGCAGGATCTAGAAAAACTCATTCAGGCATTTACCTTTAGTAGATTTGATTACCGCATTAGGGTCTTCAAAGCTTTGCCTAAAAAGTCAATAAGACAGCTGCAGTTGATCCAAAACTCTACTGCCCCTGGTCTCACTAGAACTAAGAAAGTAGAGGACATCAGCCTGTTTCTGAAGTCCTTCCAATGGCTCCCTGTAGCTCAGAAAATAGAATTTAAAACCCTTCTGTTAGTCTTTAAATCACTGAATGGATGAGCACCAAAATACAGAACAGATTTATTGTCAGTGTATCAACCTCCCAGACCATTCAGGTCCTCTAGTTCCTGTCAACTCTGTCCCACCAGAACTAGAACCAAACATGGAGAAGCAGCATTTAGTTCCTATGCTCCTATGCTTCCTATGCTAGCACTTGTCCAGAAGACTGGACAAGTGCTAAAAGCCTGAGTTCTTTTAAGTCAAAGTTAAACAATCTAATTGTTTAAAACTGCCTTTGATTGTTGAATTAAACTGTTAATTGAGGTATTATTAGTTTAAGGTTGTGGTCTAATTGTTTTATTTGTTTTACCACTATCACGCTCATATCTTTATTTGCTTTTATTTTTCTTCTATTTTATTGATTCATTCATGTAAAGTGCTTTAAATTGTCCTTGTAGTGAATTGTGCTATAAAACTAAACTTGCATTAGTTTGAACCAAAGCTTGGCTGTCACATCACAAATCTTTAAACTAACACTTCACCGTGGATCCTTCTGCTTCCATGTGTTTGTTTTTAACCAAATCAGAAAATGTTACTTCTCCCTTTGACTAACCCTTTAACATATCTGTCTTAAGTCTAGTAAAAAAGCAACTGGAGAGACTAAATGGGAATAAGTCACCAGGTCCAGATACTGTCAGCCTCAGATTCCCAAAGGCATGTGCAGAGCAGCTCTGTGTTTTTTTTATGGACCAATGTTCAACACATTGGCAACATCATTTGGCTACATTTATTTGGCCACACCCATACAGAACGGGAAATTACCACTACTTCTATCAGAACAAGCTTTTTTTCCTGTATTAACATTTGCTTGATGGTCTACTTCTATCAGAAAAAGCTTTTTTTCTGTATTAACATTTGCC